GTAGTATATCATGTGTTTTTACGTAAGTGATGAGAAATTTACTTTTTAACATACAAATCTATCATTTGTATAATGACATGTGATGTACCACCTAGTATATCGATCACAATGAAAAATCACTCCTCGTGGCGAGGAAAAATGCACTCAAATAAATTACCAAAAAGAAAAATTGAAGGGAAAATCCTTGTCAATTTCCGGGAGCTTTGGTTTTTTGACTCGGCATCTCATATATTTCCACGGTCAACTAAACCTATTTTCTCATCTTCCCACCGCTCCCAAACCCCCTCCATTAAGAACCCGCCACTCCACTCACCGGGTTCAAACCCAAAACCCATGACCCTGCGTTGACCCCTTTTCTTTCCCGCCATCCAATCAGAAAAGCCGCATCACAAAAGGGTAAACAAAACCCTTGTCGCTAAGCAAAGCAGTACACTTCTACTGTTAATCGCTCTGTGTATATATATGTGTGTATATATGTTTTGTTTGTACAAAGTTTTGTGCTTTCTGGAAGAACAGAAGGCAATGTAGGCGATCAGAGATCAGGAGTCTTCAAAACCCTACATAACATTGCAGTTAATTGCTTCTGTTGATTTTGACTGCTGGGTAATCGGTATTTAAGGTAAATTCTTTCAGTCTTTGATGTTTCCCATCAGTGAAAGTTTTGATCTTTGGATGTTTGTGCGTCTGGTAGAAGTGTTTTCAATTGTTTGGCTTTTTTTTTCTCTTGATACTGGGAGGAGGAGAATTGAATTCGGACCTCGGACGCTGGGTTGAATGCTCTTAACCAACTGGGTTACGATCCCCTTGCCAACTGTTTAACCTTTAAATTATTGATTTTTGGGGGTTTATTGCTTATTTTCCAATTGGGTTTATGCTTATTTATTATTTAGTGATTTGTATTGTATGTACTTTTAGTAGATTGCTTGGATACTCAGGGCTGTGTAGGTTTAGCAAATGTAGAGAGAAATTAGCAAACAGTTCTCAAAATTCAGATTATGTTGGTTTCCAGAAGGGTATTTACTATTTGTTTGATTGATTGAATCTTGCCGGGAATTTAGTATTCGGACCTTGTACTCCGCTTATGTTATTAGTGCTGGAAGCCATTTTGTTCTAGAGATTTGACATTCTCTTATGTGAAACAGTAGTGAATAATGAGTGCCCAAAGTGCATTGGATAACACCCTCAGGGAAATACTACATGTTGTCCAACCCTTGCCCAAGGATTGGACAGCACGGTCGCAAATCATTCATGAGTTACGAGAAGCCATTGAATCCATGGAATGTTTAAGAGGTGATATGTGTAACAGTTTCATGGTTCTACATTTCTACTGTTCGTCGTTGATTCACTATAAATGCTCATTCAGCCTACCTATTTTTAACGAGCTGCAGTTTGTAATGAGGAAAAGAATAACACAAATTTGGTTTTGACATAATTGGCATATTAACAGGTGCAACTGTGGAGCCATTTGGGTCATTTGTGTCTAATCTTTTCACAAGATGGGGGGACCTGGATGTTTCAATTGAGTTTACCAATGGTTCATTTGTTTCATCTAATGGAAAAAAGCAGAAACAGCGTTTACTGGGAGATGTTATGAATGCTTTGAGACAGAAAGGTAGGATTGTTGTTTTATCTTTATTAATTGTTTATATTTTTATTTTCAGGCCTCCTTACTTAAGCATATATCCTAATCATCTCTAGGAAACTTAATGCGTTAATTAAAAGAATATGTTGGCACAATTGAGAAATATTTCCTGGTAATGGCAACAAATTATGCATAGGGGTTGGTCTTGGACTGTCATTTATGTATAGGTTTCCTGAGTATGAAAAAGAAACAAGGAGTGTGTGTATATGTCCGTATATCTGTATTTGGGGAGTTTTGTTTGTTTAATTACAGCCTCTCCAATTTAATTTTGAACGAATATTCATATTCAGGTGGATGGAGGAAGTACCAATTGATACCCAATGCAAGAGTTCCCATTTTAAAGGTTGAAAGTCATATCCAAAATGTCTCCTGTGATATTTCAATCGATAATCTGAAATGTCAAGTGAAGTCCAAACTCTTGCTCTGGATCAGTGAGATGGATACACGCTTCCGCGACATGGTTTTACTGGTATAGTGATACTGCAGATTAGAATTCGCTTTCTAAAGGAGAAGTGTATGTATTTGACATAATCTTCTAGCTTTTGTAGGTAAAGGAATGGGCAAAAGCACACAAAATAAATAATCCAAGAGCCGGGACTTTCAATTCATACTCTCTCACGTTGCTTGTGCTATTCCATTTTCAGGTAATCTTAAATCCTCATTTCTGCCTTCTGGTGTTGATTTGAAAGTAATTTAAATTGTGAGGGATTATTTAGACTGTTTTCGCTGCACTTTAGTATATCTATGATGGTTGATATCAACCTAAATTGCTGGAGGTGGATTAGCAGCAAATTCTGTAATCTTTAAGATGGTTCAGTCTCTTGTCACTTCCATCATCTGTTATCAATATATATGATTAAGTTGTGTCTTGTGTGTAATATATGCTCCTAATTTTAGCTTATTATATTTCTCATTTGTAAATTTTCTTTTCCAGACATGTTCACCCGCAATTTTGCCACCTCTTAATGATATATATCCTGGAAATATCATTGATGATCTTAAAGGTACTTTTCATCTCTCAACCGGTGACCCCATTTTCTATATTAATTGGCCGCTCGTTGTTGGTGAAATTTGAATAGAAGTTGTTCTGATGGACGGTTGTGTGTACAATATGAGAGTAGTCTTCTCCCTTTGATGTCGTCGTTGAAGAAGTACTGGTTTGTTAGTTGAATTATTGTAGTTTCAGATTGCTCTTCTATGCAGCAAACTAAAACAACCAAAAGAAGTTCTTAGTTGTAGACAAACCAAATTATAATTTCAATCTTTTAATTGCTCTGTTCCTTAAGTTGCACTGACATAGTCCTTCTACTCAGAGTAGGGACGATTTGGGTAAGAATTAGAGCCAGTGTATGTTCTCTTATTAGTAAGTTTGCATATGCTTTAGATAATCCACTGCGGTGAGATTGTCGAGTTAACTCTTATCTTCTTTTTTCTAGTTATCTCTAGTGTATACTGTTAGTTCATACATTTTTTACAATATTGTACGAGAAGTATTATTGAGGGTCTTTTAAACCACGTTGATTTAGTGTTTTGTAGTATTTTAATAAGAATTTGTTTGAGCATACATAATGGTACCTAAAATGCGTCGGACAGAGAATTTGTAGATCTGATTAGAACAAATATCTTATTACTTATGCTATATGCAGGCTTGAGGGTTGATACAGAGAGACACATCGCAGAAACATGTGGTGCAAATATAGAAAGGATAAAAAGAGCATACAGCATGAGACCAAAAAACAGAAGTTCTTTGTCTGAGCTTTTAGTCTCATTCCTTGGGAAGGTATTTTCTACATTCACAAATAACTTGAATCGTAGTTTGTCGTGTTTTTAATAGAGATTGGTATGCTCAAGAATTCCACTCCTGAAGAATTTGCCTTACCCTTTCCTCTGGAACGTTTGGTTAGACATTTTTCAATTTGATGATGGTTATTTCATAAATTTGCAGTTTTCTGACATTAGTACGAGGGCTTCAGAGTTTGGAATTTGCACTTATACTGGACAATGGCACGCCATAGAAAGCAATACGAGATGGTTGCCGAAAACTTCTTATTCCCTATTTGTAAATCCATCCCTCTCTCTTTATCTTTTTTAGGACTTGATGATGGCCTTTTTGTTAATGATATTTATTGCTGTAACCACTGCTGATTTTGCCACTGGAATTGGTGCATGGATAGATTGAAGATCCTTTTGAGCAGCCAGAAAACATTGCCAGGGCTGTTAGGACCGGTGAACTGACAAGGATATCAGGAGCATTTGCGATGAGCCACCACAGACTTATCTCAACCAATCACAGTTCATTTTCTAACATGCCTGATCAGAGGTCTCTTCTTGCCACCCTAGTCCGACCACAAACTTTACATCTTATTGTAGGACCACCTGTTAGGAATCCGGTATACAATCCTGAGCACCGCCAACCAACTCAGCCACAATGGTTCAGGGCTGAGAGCTCACGTTGGCGAACACCAACCAGCAATAATGGCGCTCGAAAACCAACTCATCCTCAGGTGAACCAACTGGTGCCCTCACCTTCACCAGTGCAACCTCTTCTGGTGCCCATGCTAGTGCACTCACGCTCACAAGTGCAACCTCCTCGGGCGCACAAGCTAGTGTACTCACCCTCACAAGTGCAACCTCAATTGCAGACGACGGAGCCAAAATGGTCTGACAACAGGTCAACCACGGGGCCAAAACAGTATCGCAACGGGTCAACCACCAAAAAACCTCCTCCGCAAACACACCAAGATCGACCACAGCAAATGTGGAGACCAAGATCTGATACAAGCTGAATGTGTGATGTGAGTTTTTCCATTCAAACATGCGTTGCCTGGCTTTTGGTTGATAAGTAAGAAACATTTCAAGTATGCAAGTTGGATCGTCACGGCTGGTTCGATGCAACCTAGAATTCAAGTGAGAAACAAGTGATCGAGTCTTTGTTCTTTTGTTTTATCGACTGAAAGATTACGCTGGTCCGAAGATTCCCTCGGATTGGTTTAGGGTTCATCAGTCACTCTCCTGCACAAATGAAATGTGCATGATATGTGTGTATAAGAGAATATTGATGTTTGGTGTAGAGTATGACTTAAAGAAGCAAACGGGTTGCTTCTGCTCAATTTCTCTACCTACCATTTTCAGGGATGTTTGGACCCGAGAAATTACTTTTCCGCACCTATTTCAGCACACCCTTATTTATTTATACGTCTATTGATTTTCGTTAGACATAAACAAATGCGCGTGTGAAAATCACTTCCAGACGGACCCTTTTTTTTCTTTGCTGTCACCCTTTCACTATCTAAAGAGCTTCACTGAATGAGTTTCTTTCATCTCTGTAAAGATGTCAATTAGAAATGAATTTTAAAAATCATGATAAAATCATAATCTAAAAATTGAAGTTCTTGTATATTGATACGACCAACATTTACAACATGCATAAAAAAATTGAAATTCTTGAATACATAAATCATAATCTAAACTCACGACTATGACGATTCTGTGTGTCAAGTACCAACTCCAATCCTCATTATCCGCCCCGGACGGAGTTTTGATCTGAGGTTGCCCTACCCAATCTCTGCTACTCCAATCTACAACACAATCAAAAGAATTCTATCAATCTCTCTCATTACACTTGCACCGAGTCTGTCCGATCCATTGCATCGTCAAATGATGGTTTTAGACAATCTGGTTTGCTCGTTTACCCCTCCAGAAAATTAGTAAGATACAATCTGGTATCATGTCCCAATGCTTCAACTATGCAAGAGGCGTTTTTCGCCAATAAAGAGTCTATAACTTGCATGAGGCCCCTCAGATGTGTCTCGTAAATTGACGCGCCAGCCCATGGCTTTTCCGATTGCTTGAAGTTCATTCATGACAGAAATTGAGTCACGGATGTATGCACGACCACCAGGTCTTAGCATCCGGTCCATCTCAAGCATGATTGTGGAGATATCACATCTGTTATAAATGTATGAATCAAATCAGGCTTTACAGAAAGAACAAAAAAGGTGTAAAACCGCCACTTTACCCCCAATGCATCTCACTCCCACCCCCAAGAACAAACATCAAATTAATGGAATGAAAACTTTAAATCAAACAATCAAGCATCATCATGGTGTTAAAACTCAACCTCAAGCCAATGGAACAAAAAGAAAGAATGTATGTAGGATGATCCCGACAAACCAAATGTAATTCTGCATTTCATTTCTTTTCCGGTCATGATTAACTATTACTGAACAAGAGAGAGCCTTTCCATTTTCCCAACCTTTATATTAACAACTTATCAGAAGTTAAATCCAACACTGTTCTAGAGTACTTTGTTTCAAATTAATCATAACTACTAATATTTTGAATATTGGTTCTCGGTAAAATGTAACTCCCCTAATTAAGCAAATATTCTTGTGCGGTATCATCTAAAGCACACAAGGACAAGATAGTGATGGGAAATATATAAAACTCATTAAATAATGAAAATTTTCAGATTGGAGGGTAAGAGAAAGAAGAGAAGGGGAGAGATCACCTTTTTTTCTCAATAGAGAAAAGGCTGGCTGCATGCAATAAATCGTATGTCCGTGGGTATGTATCAAATGGTTCACACCTGATACATATAATGCTAATGAATAACTTTTAAACCAACTGAACTTATTATAAGCAGAAAACAAAGAAAAACAGTTGGTAATGTACCAGTCATGCATTACTCCAATGAGTCCACGGTCATATATAACAGGTAATGTGTTGGGGCCGCTAACAGGAACCACATTCATAACCCAGCAATTTAAATCATGTTCAATTAGTGCAGCTGCAAATCTGCCCACCAATTAAGAGACCAGAAGCAATGAGAAAAATTTAGCAAAAAAATAGAAACGGAAGACCAGTAGAGCACAAGATAAATACATTACCCTCCAAAGCCAGCTCTCATGTCCATTACGTTTCTTAATCTAAACTTCTTCCATTTTAAACCACGAACATAACCTCCAACTAACTCATGGCAATATCTGGATTCTGCTTTAAATAGCTCCTTTCTGGATATAAAGGCATCAATTTGTATGCTCTGAAGCCTATCAGGGGGAGTTTGCAAACGGTCCGGCCATGCTGTGACATTTGTTCCATAGCCATTTTCAGGAAGTCTTGTGATGCATGCCTTCAGATCAACATACCTGCCTCATAATACAATAAATACCGTAACCTTATAGAACAAGAGGCAAGTCCTCTACGTGCACATGAAAGCTCTTTTGAAATAAAACAATACAATTATCCGCAGAAATAAACTTAAACTATGAAACTAGACCTCAAAGAAATGGTATTTCATTCAGAACTAAAAACAAAATATAAAAGGGAGTCCAACATTTTCAAAGAGTTCTTTACAGGTTTATTCCAATTTTATCTCCAATTAAAAGTATGTATGGCTTTAATGCAAAGGAAGGTGGTAGGAGGGAAAACAGTTGGTATGCATTTAATTAATATCTGAGTTTGATGAACAACCTATCTTACTTCAGAAAATTATCAAACATTGTTAAGAGAGGAATCACGGACATACCAAACTTTGTCTGGGTCATCACTTGGATCACATAATGGAGGTTTGGTTCCTTCATCCCGATTTAGATAGCAGCTGTTGTTAACCGGCTTTTTCCATATTGCAACATAGCCCTGCTTTGACACCAATTCCCAGCAAAGCCGCGTGGTGAGGTTAAGCATCTCTGGAAAAGGAAAAAAAGAAAAAAGATTTTATTTTTCCCAGGCCCAGACATGATTGCTAAACCAACATAGAGGATATACTCTTGTCGGGTCATGGACCAAAAATTAGGTTGCTTCTATTAAACCAGTGATGTTATCAAACAAGAAGTTAGTACACAAGGTTTAATTGTTTCCCAGGTCCAAATATGATTACTAAACCCTTGTGCCCACTTCTCTTCTCGATCCTTCCACATTCTTGAAACTGGGGACAGAGTCATATATTATGCCTAAAGGACAGCTAGACTGGAAATTTTCGTGTGCACCAAACAGCATTGTTTAACGAAGATGGTGCTTTGCTGCAGTGGCGGAAAGCAATCGTGTGCACCAAACAGCATTGTTGTTGTTGTACAGTCAAACAGAAATGATAGGTTATAGTTTTTTGTGGGATAGAGAATTGATTAAGTGGAGGCACAAAATGTTGTTTTGCTCTCGATTCATCTGGGTCAGGAAATGCTAATACAAAAACTGCAGAACTTTCAAACACTAACCAGCAATCAATACACTAAAAAGTTTCACCAAACACTAAAAAGTTTCACCAAACAAATCTTTCGCAGTAATACCTTGCCACTGCTCCTCTAGAACTTCTTCATGCTTATAAACTGGCTGTGCTGCCCAAGCAAAGTATCCTCCTGCCCTGAGCATCCTATTAACCTCAAGCAACAATATGCCATCTTCAAAACAAAGAAGTGAACGAGGTAAAGAAAACACAATCAGAAGATATCCCCCTACCTAAGTGACCATCATGTAACTAAGGCAGTTCACTGGAAAATAAAAAGTTAAATATAAGTTTTGCATACCATCACGAGTCCAGTTAATCCTACATCGTGAGCAATGTATCAGGTCAAATGCCTGACTTGGGTACAATAAACGGTGAGTTGCAAATGCTGCTACCATTGCAGGCACACCGCGCTCAAGAGCAAATTGAATCTGGTTCTCATGGACGTCTTTAGGTGCAACTGACATAGTAAGGACATCTCGCGACAGCAGATACGCACCAAAACTCGCAACACCACATCCGACATCCAAAACAACTCGGACATGCTGACCGAAGGTGATGTCTGGGACCGCCTGCACGATTTATACTATGATCATCAGAAAAAACAAGATATAACAGTAATCGAAAGCTCAAATTACACATTTCCCAATCACGTCGAAATTAAACAGTATTAACCTTAGAAATATCAGTCAAGTAACCATCTGCTCCATGTATAAACTGTGTACCACCTCCCGGAAACTTAAACTTGTTCTTCTGTCTGATAATCCAATTCTGACCCCCTTTATCTTCCACTAATTTTGTATGAGGTACGTTGAAGAACCAAACCTGCAATGAAGTGACATTTTCATTAACAAAGTTCGAAAAGATTAATGCTTTAATCTCAAAAACAAACACATACATAATAAAAACTTTAAAATCTCCGAAATTACCTCATCCCGGCTTTTAGGCCATGGAATTGGGCTCTTGTAGCTCTTGGGCGCCGGAACCAAGCAATTCAAACCCCGACCAGCCTCCGGGCAATGCCGCTCAAACCGCTCGCCTTTCGCCGTGGATTTCAGCCTCTTAACCACCTCCACATTATCCAAACAAGGTATGTACTCGCTCATACTCTTCGGGCAGAGCTCGAACCTCTCCACACTCACCCGACCCGACCCGCTCCCCTCACTCTCCGCCACAGTCCCGTTCTGGCCGCCCCAATTCTCCACCACCTCATCGGGATCGAAATCCCCGACCTCGAAATCGTCAGACATGGTGCCATTCTCGTCGACGATCCCGAACCTCTGGACCACATCGGGCGGCGGCGGAGACGGAAGCAACGGGGGTGGAGCTAGGGTTTCGTTTATGAGGGCGGAGAGATTGAAAGGCTTGTCTAGGTTGGGCGAGACGGAGACGGCGGAGGGTGCTCGGCTCGTGGTGGTGGTGAAGAAGAGTAGCTGCTGGGACCCATCGGACCAGTGCTTCCCGAAGTAGAAGAAGGTGACTGCCATCATCACAATTCCGCAAACTTTCAGGATCAACGGGATTCGCAGCCAATCGCCATTGCCCAAAATTGTCATGATTTAATTTTTGGGATAATTAGTTTAATTCGATTGGGCGGAATCGGAAGCGAAGAACGCCGTCGAAGCGAAACGAGACGCTGCGTTTTGGTGGGTTGAGGAATCGGAATTGGGGTGGTCTGAGAGTGAGAGTAGCGAGGATCTGAAGGTTGAGTGTCGGTGCGGTGTGGCCGAGGAAGAAGACGGACACTGTTTGACTGCTTGCCATTGTCACCGTCACCGACGGAGGTGTAAAATTATTTTGTGGAGGGAGTGTGAGATGGTGACACGTGTGCATTTGGAAGGAGGAAAAAAAGGATTTGGATCCTCTCCTAAGCTAATGGAGAGGATCCTCCTGACCAGTTATCATGGGCCGTTTGATTGTTATCCAACGGCTACAAACAGGAGGTCCCTTTAAAGTTATAATAATTATAGCCGTTGGATTTTTATCCAACGGCTCATGATAACTGGTTAGGAGGATCCTCTCCATTAGCTCATGAGAGGATCCAAATCCGGAAAAAAATCCAAACAAACTGTAAAAACAGATTAGTTTGCACTTTTTATGTTAATCATCTTCCTAATGTTAAATAAGCAAGGTGATGAACGCTAGGGCTGGCATTTTAAACCCGATCCGACCCAACCCGACCCGTTAAAACTAATATTTGGGTAAGTGCTTAACGGATTGGGTTGTTAACGGGTCATTTTGGGTCAACCAACGAAACTCGTTAGCACCCGTTAAGAAGGACTTTTGTGTAATTTCATAGTTGGAATAGAAAACCTAGCTCTTTCTGTTCTTTCACGTTCGAAACCGACTGAGTGGTTGCCATTCTCTCCCTCATCTTCATCCTCAAAGTTGGTTGTCGTTCACTAAGTTCTGCCACCCTCTCTTTGATAAGTTCTGATTCCCTTTCACCTCTTCTTTCATGGTGCTTTCTGTGTGTGATTGTGCTTTTGTTCTCTTCCTTCGCAAGTTAGATAGAGAGAGATCTTCCCACTTCTTCATCCCATCACACACTCGATTCATACACACACAGATACATACGTTATTCTTCTATCATGGGTTTGATGGCGATTGAGGAGGAGAAGCAGGCGGTGGCCAAGCCCTTTGACGAATTGGGTTCTGATTATTCTGCAACCTATAGTTTCTTTTGCCTTTTGCCTTTTATGGGTCCTTTGTTGTTCACAAAATCAAGAATTGGTGGAGATAGATAGGGAATTTAAGAGAGAGATGCTCTTCTTGTTACTGATAAATTAGAAAGTGAATGATTGATTTTAATGCCATGGCTTTTCAGTTAATTGTATTTAAATGTATATGCGAAGGAGTTTTCTCACTTTAGATCATTGTGAACCCGACTCGTGATTAAACAGTAGTCCTACAAGTCTATCGTCTCTGCATGGATACTTGATTAATAAAGACAGGAATAGAGGAGGAGTAGTTGCTTTACCTGTTTATCCAAATGATGTAGTTCTTTGATCACCTTGTAGAAATTTTGTACTTATAATCTCATTTCTCCTTGTAGGTTTATATATATGAATAAAACCAAGTTTGTAGGTAATTAATGTTGAATTCATATTACTTCTTTCATTCATGTATCTAAAAAAGGCCTAGATTTAATTGAAAAGGTGTAAAAGAAACCGTAGGCTGCAGAAGTGTTAGTGCTATATTTCTGTGAAGTCAATCATTAATTCACTCTAGCCTGAGAGGTGTTCGTGCACGGGTCTTCCTTACTTTTTAACCCATTTTCTCATACTTATTGTTATTTATCGTCGGTGTTTGTGAGTGCATCAAATATACAAAGTGTTCAAAAGGGAGAAAAAATAAGTGTTTTGCTTGCGTTGCACAAGTAGGGTTGGCAGGTAGTAAAAGTGGGTTGAGACAAGATGTGCCTACTAGATGGAATTCAACATATACAATGTTGGATAGTGCTATTTTCTATCATCGTGCTTTTCTCAATTTGACACTTGTTGATTCTAATTTTAGTTCATGTCCTTCATTGGAAGAGTGGGATAAAATAGAGAAGATTTCCAATTTCCTGGGGTATTTTTATGAAGTTACTTGCTTATTTTCCAGAACAAATTACCTTACATCAAATTTGTTTTTCCCAAAAGTGTTCAAAGTCCATTATTGTATTCAAGATGCCATGAAAGATTGTGATGATTTCATGAGACGGATGGGGAATTATATGAATTTGAAGTTTGAAAAATATTGGTCAGAGTATAGTTTGATCCTTGCCGTTGCAGTGATTCTTGATCCTCGCTATAAATTGGAATTTGTAGAGTGGGGTTATAACAAGCTTTATGGTAAGGATTCCAGAGAGTTGAAGGATGTTAGTGGCACATTGTTTTCACTCTATGGTCGTTACATAGACAAGTTCTCTCATCTTCTTGTATCCAACTTAGTCAATCAAACTCCTACTCAAATAAAAGTTGGAGACAAACTTTTTGAGGTAGTATTTATATTTGTTATTCCTGTTTTTATACTTTTTATATGCATCTTTATATTGTTCGTTGACGTCATTGTTTCTATTTTGTTTTTATATGTAGGAATTTGATAATATTTACCTAGATGGGTCAACTTCAAATTAAAAAACTAAATTACATCTATATCTTGAAGAAAAGAGACTTGATAGAAAACAAGAGTTGGATATTCTTTCATGGTGGAAACTGGAGCAATTTCGTTATCTTGTACTTTCTCGTATGGCTTCTGATGTGTTAACAATTCCCATCTCAACTGTTGCCTCATAATCAGCATTTAGTATTAATGGTAGGGTGCTTGATCAATATCGAAGTTCTTTGTTGCATGAAACTGTTCAAGCCTTGCTATGTACTAGAGTCTGGCTTTTTGGCAAAGGAGGTAAATTTTATATTACTTTGTATTTTTTTTCTTACATAATAGATTATAATCGTTTTCCTTTTTTAACTTTTATGTTTAGCTTCAGAGAAAGAGGGAGCTGACTTGGAAGAACTCATTGAATAAATTTTTGACATGAGCCTTAACGAAAACTCAGGACAATGCTCTAATAGTATTAGTCTTGATTAAGCATGGTATGTATTTTCACTTGTTCTTTTAAAGATATTTTATGTGATGTTTAATAATTAGGATGGATTGTGCAAGAGTAATGTCTGATTTTGTATACTTGCTCATTGCTCTTGATTTTGTGGGTGTGTTGTAGATTTTTGGGTGTTCGATATGCAAATTCTTTCTTGAAGTAGCGATGTAATTGGGTAGTACATCTTGGTGATGTTGAATACGGCATTGCCCCTTGACGTATAACTATGCTTCACATTTTGTAAAACCCTTATGGAGTTCTATTAATTAGTTGATTTGGAAGATTGTAGTATGATATATATATATATATATATATATATATATATATATATATATATATAAAATACATCTTGGTGATGTATATACCTCAATTATGAGACCCAAAGTCACAAATCTTAAGGTCACAATTTGCATTGAGAAGTAGGTTACTCGATTTTAGGTCGCGGTGCAAAACATTTGCAGAGTATGTACTTCAATCCCCGCATATATATATATATATATATATAATGTTTGTAATTTTAGGTAAAAGATGTGTAATTTGTATTGGAATGTAAAATGTTAAAGAAAAAACAAAAAAAATTGTTAACGGGTGACTTATTAGGCTTAACGGGTTGGGTTTGGGTCATTCGTTAGCTTAACGGATTCGGTTCGGGTGACCTGTTAAATTAACGGATCGGGTTGAACCCGACCCAAACCCAATAAACCCGACCCGTTTACAGGTCTAATGAACGCCACCTTCACTTAATGACGGTGAGAAAAAAAAAATCCCAAATAAATAAACAAATTTAAGATTTTGAGCAAATAAATAATCATCTAAATATCCATCACGTTGAATAAATGTTAAGGGGACTATCTAAAAGTATGACCCTCGTTAGATTATTTGCCACCTTATATTTTTTGCATAATGTTATATAATGTTGGCATGAGAATCATTAAACTATGAGATGATAGAGAGTTCATAGAATGTCTCACGTTGAGATAGTTCCCTTGATATTCCTCATGTTTCGAATGCAATGTACTTAATTTTTAATTTTGTGTGTGTTGTTCCAACTCTTGACATCCAGTCCTTTGAAACTGATCCACTTCCATTTCTACTTTACGTAAGCGAGTTCAGACTTTTTCCAACTAGTCTAGGGCCCTCTCGGGTAGCCGTTAGATTTGACGACAATCTGCTAGTTATATCGCGAATCTTTTAAATAAACCTTTTAAATAATTAGAAGGCCTAGTATTTTGTGATGTGTGATTTGTTCGAGTCCAAATAACATGCATATGAAATGAAATTTTGATTCTTTATTCGTAAATCAAAGCTCAAAAAGATGGTTGTCCATAAAGTCTCTTCCGTTGAATTCACCTCTCTCGCGCCCAATCCTAAACTAGAACATGAACGAATCTTTCAATTGCACACATGTTGGTTCGTAGCATTATTTGTGTCCATGATACACGTGATTAGTGAAGATAATTGGCGCTAATTTCGTGTAATTATGTTGCTAATTAACCAAATTAATACACACTACTTTCAATCTATCTTCTTCAAGTCTATTCCGACACGTCAACCGAACCGAAAGATCTATAAATTCGAATCGAGCCCCAACCCATTTGGCCCGTCAGATGGTAAAACGACCCGCCTAACCCCAGAAACGACGCCACCAACTTCCCCCTTAGTCTTCTCGAATCTTCGTCTCTTCCGGCGTCGCATCGTTTCTCCTCCCAATTCGCCCCCCAAAACCCAAAATTAGGGTTTTCCTTACCCAATTCTTCCTCCCAATTCGCCCAATTTACATGCTATGCCAAGGCCGCGCCATGTCCGATCGGACTTGTAGGGTTTCAGCTCGGACCGGGCTGTCCGATGCCGCCGATTCGCAAACATTCTAGAGGAGCGAAATCGGGTGAATCCATGGGGAATTCGAAGCCTGGGTCCGACCAAGAGTCGTGCTCGAGATCGATCAGCGAGACCGTGAACGGGTCGCACCGGTTCACGATAAAGGGGTATTCGTTGGCCAAAGGTATGGGCGCTGGGAAGTACCTGATGAGCGATACGTTCGCAGTGGGCGGATACGATTGGGCAATTTACTTTTACCCCGACGGTAAAAACCCGGAGGATAGCAACGCCTACGTCTCGGTTTTCATTGCTTTGGTTAGTGAGGGTACGGATGTGAGGGCTTTGTTCGAGCTGACGTTGGTGGACCAGACGGATAGTGGGAAGGACAAGGTGCACAGTCACTTTGATCGCGCGCTCGAGGGCGGACCGTACACGCTGAAGTACAGAGGCAGTATGTGGTATGTGTTTTAATGGGTTAATTGGCGGGTTTTTGTGCCGTAAAGTTTTGATTTTTATGATAAATTGAGTGCATTCCTGTTGAATTGTGGGTTAGGGATAGGTTTTAATGTGTTTTATATGAAAGAATGGTAATTTAGCAGCTTGGTGATCAATTGGGTAATTTGGATTTGAAGGTGACTGGTATGGTGTTGAATTGGGGAATGTAAAGATGAATATTGTGTTTTTTCAGTGGGTCTGTATGTGATTACGCTAGATAAGCATGCTTCTTGTTATATTGGGGGCTTTTCGCTTAAGTGGTAGAGAGCTCTGCAGCATAGGTGTCCAGTCCTTAGGCTTGCTTTGAATAAATGAGAGAGTTAAAAATTAAAATGCATAAAACTGTAGGAAAAAACTTCAATGGATACTAATTTTGTTAGGTATATCATTGTTTAGACTGATGTATGAATTTGTATGTTCATCCAAATCTTAAAATGAATCATTCTACTTCGGTTTTCTTTTCACATTGTTATTAGTAAAACTTTGAATTGTACATTTATTTAATAAATCACTTGGAAAATCAACACATCTAAAGAACACAGGCTGATTTAGATTGGGATTTTTTTTCTCCGTAGAAAATGTAAAACAGAACCAGAGATTGAATTCAGGGGTCTGATTGAGACCCGAGACACACCACTTTAGAAATGTTATTTATAGATAAATTATTTTGTTCGATGATTATTATTCAGATTAAACATTATATTTTGGAAAAACCTAACATTTCATTATCTGTGTCTACACTATTGTTTAACAGAAGACTACTTGTCAACTGTTTTTGCAAAGTTCTAATTTGAGAAGTTCATCATTTATCGTTTATCAGACTGTCTATAGATTCCTTGCAGTTTCTGTAACCTATTTTCCAATTTTGGTTCAGCTTACTAATTTGCGAATATTGGGAGTTTATGTTCAGGTAGGAACCCTCTGCAAGTTTCCGTAATTAGATTTACTCTTGTCATTTCAGGGGTTACAAGAAATTCTTCAGAAGATCACTCCTAGAAACTTCTGAGTTCCTTAAGGATGATTGCCTTGTATTGAACTGCACTGTTGGAGTTGTAAGAACTCGCCTTGAGCAACCAAAACAATTTACAATCACTGTTCCATCATCAGACATGGGACGAGACCTGAAGGACTTTCTAGATTCTGAAGCTGGTTGTGACATAGTTTTTCAGGTTGGTGATGAACAGTTTAAAGCTCACAAGTTGATACTTGCTGCTAGGTCTCGTGTATTTAGAGCGCAGTTTTATGGACTTGTCGGGGATTGTAACGTACATAAAGTAGTTGTGGAGGATGTTGAGCCCTTCATCTTTAAGGTAATGCTTCATGATCTTGTTGCTTCCACTTGTTACCATCTGAAACTAATAGAAAACGATTCTAGTGCATGATATGTGCGTTAACATTTGTGCACTTCTATGTCTCTCCATAATTGACATTCACCTTTTACTCTGTTATTAGTAGTCAAAAGTTTCTTCTTGAATTCAGTTATCAAATGAACAAATAAGAAATCTTGGGATGATGAAAAAGTGTGGCAGATGCTAGTTTTATTTTGTAGATTGGTAGCTATCAAGACCAAGTAATAATGATAATAATTACAAGTTCTCATATAATGTATAGAGTTGTTAAATTCACGTAAATATAATCACTTATTTATAGGTTAAAAAGATTATCTGGGAAAGTGATCTATGTTTCTTTCATGTTCCCTTTAGCACTTAAACTACAGTGCATGTCGGGGTCTGCTTTTTTGGCAGTATAATTATTACAGGAAGCCCCTAATATGAATTAGGAGTCATCTTAAGGTTTGAGTTTACTACTGTTGATGTTTGAGCGACGACAGACATAATCAAATGTGATAAATCAAAAGGAGATGACGGCTTGTCTGTATTCAGATTCAACAAGTAATTAAGGGTACATGTGGAAGTTGATTGCTTAGAACTGAGCTCTAATAAGTGAAAATTTGAGCCAGTTTGAGCTTGTTTCAGTAACGTGTAACTGTGAATATTACACCGGTCCATTTGTCTTTGTTTCATTAGTTGAGATTTAGACTAGAAGTTCGACTCCAATATTCACAATGATTCCTGGCAGATGATGCTTTTTTACCGTAGTGGCGGAAAGCAATGATGCCTATGCACCTTGGTGCGGGTCCGATCCTACCCATCCCCATCCCCGTACTAACAATTTAACCCACTAATGCAATCATGTGTAAAAAAAAAAAAAAAAAAAAAACGACCTTTCCTGATAAGTTTTATCCGTATGGTTTTATTTATGTATGCTCTTATTTTGAACACGTTGAATGAATTTAATAGAGATCTTGTCCTTTTTTTATTTCCAGGCAATGCTTCTCTTTATTTACACAGACAAATTTCCTGATATACATGAAGTTATGGGCTCATCACCTTTGTGCACATTCACTGTCATGGTGCAGCATCTGTTGGCAGCTGCAGACCTGTATAATCTAGATCGACTGAAATTGTTGTGTGAATCAAAGTTGTGTAAAGAAATCACTACTGAAACAGTGGCGACTACACTTGCTCTTGCCGAACAGCATCAATGTCGACAGCTCAAGGATGTCTGTCTTAAATTTGCAGCAAATCCGTCAAACTTGGGAGGTGGGTGTTACCCATAGATTCTGATGCTGCAAGGTTTCAGGTTATATCAGTTTTGAATTTTCTGTTTCTTAGTAGTCTCAAGTATCCTTGATGCAGTACCATGCATGCCTGCCTCATCATACATGTTGCAGATGTCCTTATCATTCTCTATGGTTTCAGGATGTCAATAAGGATGTTCCCTTAAAATTTATGATAATTCCATTTGGGACGGTGGGACCTCTGGTCAGCCTTTCCGTCTGGGTCCTCTGGTCAGCCTATGGTGACAACTTGATATCTGGCTGATCGAGGGGCAGCATTCTGAGAATGGTATAGTAGGATTTCTATTTTGGCTGATTGTATATAGGTTCTTCCCCTATACGTTCTTTCTCCATTAAGTTAAAGAAAGGAAAGAATTACAAGGAATTTCACTGTTTCTCTCTCTAATGGTAGAAGAGTGATTCAAAGAGTTGGACCTGCATGAGATTGTCACAATTTGCCATAATTTAGACCCTGGAAACTGGTTTTTAAGTTTCAACCAGAAGTGCTGTTCATCGGTCTTAACAAGGCACAGACCTTTCTCCCCACCCACCTTTTACCATATTCATTTATATAAATATCGAATACAGTTATTTTGTTCTTAGTTTTTAGGAATTAAACGATGAATTCCATATCGGTTGGTTAATGATTGAATGACCATTTTGAATTATCTGAAACATGAGTTCCCATAATGCCATTAGTGTATTGATTCAAGTTTAACCATAGTTCCTTATCCTCATGAGGTTGAATGGCATGGTGTTCTGCTGAAAATATTGATTGACATTATCTACCTGTGAACATATCCTAATTTTCACGCGTTCTTTCTCAAAGCTTGTATTTTGCACATCCGTCCGGCTGCAACAATTACTCTCATCCTTTCATAGAGGAATTATTTTTTATTTGCTTTGCATGCAACTGTTTTCATTTCGTAGTTTATGTTGTAAAACTGAATATTGGACTCATGAATCCTCATGTGTTTTGCAGCCGTAATGCAATCAGATGGGTACAAGCATCTCGAAGAGAGCTGCCCATCAATGTTGGTAGAGCTGCTGGAGACATTTGCATCGGTAGATGACAATTCTAGTCTTCTGTCAAGCCGGAAGAGGAGTGGTAGCAGCATATACGGGCTAGATTTGCCAGCAGATGGGGGTGGGACCGTAGCAGAATCAGCAAATCCCAATGGCAGGCGCGTGAGGCGGCGGTATTAGTGTATGTAGTTTCCTTTAGGTGCCACAAGCCTGAAAGGAGTGGTAGTCATGAATGGCGATCGTGTATTTGTCACGTATCGCCTCTCATTGTGTTAGGCACTCCTTGTATAAAGGTTAATTGTAATTTCTTATCAGAATATCAGGTCCTGTGGCCGGCACTGTTGTTGGATGTGAAACTGAAATTTGTATGGTTACGTTGTGCGTTATGTAGGATTTGTAGGTAGACTCTCCTTTTCAATGGAATGTGAAATTTATTAGAGAAAAGCATAGTGTCTGAGTGTCGAAATTTACTTATTCAGTTTTTGCTTATAATTTGTTGAAGTAACGAACAACTCCGCGATCCTTTGGTGATACGGAGATTGCTGCCCCGCGGTTGATGATCTTCGGTTGTTTTTTAAGGAGAACATTTTTGAGATGAACGGTTAAAATTCTGTGATGTTGCGCACACGGTTTTGATACCAACAATGATGAAAATGTATGCGCTCTTCTAAAGTTCTTGTTTGACACTGACACGGTAATGACTTCAACAAATTGAGTTCATTTGGGGTACATTCTTACTGTTCACCATTATGCTTGTGTTTGATTGCTCTGAAAAATCGCTCGTGTGAGAAAAACCTTAAACAAGACGAGCCATGCATGCCCACCATTTTTTCTACGAATCTTAATTGAATATTGTAGCGAAAAGCAAATTCGTTATCTGTTCTTAGAGTAAGAAGCATGGTAGAAAAAAAAAATTACATTAAATATGTAGTAGATACTGCAGGAAGCAAGCTAGCTATTTGAACTTTTTGTCTTGAAGAGAACTTGAAGCATCCTGGACGGTAGTATCGGGCCAGAGAAAGGCACCCATTGCAGACTTTCGCTTGTGAGCCAAGTCACCCTGCATGGGCAACCCATATTCGGCAAGAAGGTGGTCGAGCTTCCACTCAGGCATGTCCTGGTAGTCCTTTCTGGTGTATCTCGGGTAGTGAAGCGGCATCTTGAAGTAGCTCACGCTGCTGCTTGTTTTTCCGCTTTCCATCTGATCTTTTCTCTCGTACGAGCTAATTGAAATGCTCGAACGAGATTTTCTTGTGTGTTTAGTTGGTGTTTATTAGCTTAGTTTATAGAGTTTATGAGAGTTAATCCTCGAGGCAGGCTCCAGAGGCATGATTAGGGTTCACAAGAATTGGTTGGCATACCTTCTCACAGCATGATATTTACGTGCATGTGTGCATATGCATGTCGAGAGAGAGACTCTGAACGCTAACAGCATGACGCTACCCCAATGAATTAGCTTGCTAGAAATTTTCAGAAGGCTAAACCAAGCATTGGCGACAAGGTGCACATACAACATGCCTCTACACACACTTTATGTTATTACAAGTCGGTTCTTTTTCTGGTTATGCTGGATGGATTCAAACCTCGGATCTCTCCTAAATTTCGTTGACTTTATAAATGAACAAGTCATATTAGTATTGAGTAAGTTTATAAGGATCGATTATACTTGGTAAGTTAGGAAGGATTGGTCAAGATTCAATACAACACTACACTTTCTTCGTTTTCCGTTGATTTAGCCCTTGATTTAATCGGGCATGTAGCACAATTTTGCTCGACGCGACCGTCTTGGCATGGCCCTTCGCTTCCCCTTTCAGTGTAAAATTGTGTTCATGACCTTTCCTAATTGTAGTCACACTAAAATGGAACCAAGAAAACTAACCACTCTGATGCATCATATAGCTTTTTTGTCATCCTTCACTTCATCCTGGGACAACATATAGCTTTTTTATCAAAGAAGTAAACAGACAGTGAAATCTTTGAAACTTAATTGTTTGTGTTGCAACTTCATAATTATTGGAACTTGGTTATCATCTAAAGGATTGCTTTGTTTTGACTACTGGTGTATGTGAATTATGGTAATGAAAAAACTAGCTTTTAAACTGACGGAGCTAATTGCCTAGAGCCTGGAGTTGCCAACTAATAGGTTTGCAAGCCACTTTCAAGAGCATACATATGAACACAATTTTGCTCGATGCAACCGTCTTGGCATGGCCCGAGCTCTCAGAATTTTGACACGATCAGGCTAATTGACTCACGAACGTCCTCCAAAACAAAAGGTTCACCAAAACAAAACGAAATGATTCACCAAAACAAAAACCCTAACAACCTGAGGAGGACATACCTACAGGCCCTAGCAACGGCATTTGGCCCCTACCATGGAGCTTCACCAACACAATTTCAACTTCCAAGTGACCCCATAAAATGATTTCAATCCAAAACTAAATTAGAGGGTGTGAATCTGCAACCTGTACGTGTTGCCAAATGGTGCCTGTAAACAAACAGTACGAGTCTGTACGACTATGTGTTTCGATAAGAGTCTCTAATTCTGCAGGGCCGCTGCAGGGGATCAGATGAACCTCCATCGTAGCCACGCTATCAGGTATTGCATGATTAAGTGAGAGGTATATAATTGGAGGGCCCGGATTTGGTGCATAAGGGGTAGCATGTCGTATGGTACATGAGGCTCAGACATGAAACATGTGTTACCTGTATGCATGATCACTTGAAAAATAGTGACCCACCTCTTGATTGTGGGGACTTTGGGACTCTTAGACTCAATCATCAAACTATATTCCTAGCCTCATGATTTGCTTCAACTAAATTGTGTCACTAAGTTAACCATACGATTCAGGGTGAGGTTCTACTCGTAATTGCTGGGGACAGTGGCAGAGTCAGGATGAGAAAGTAAAAGGTTGGAGAGTAGATTAACGGGGAAAATTTGGACTAAATTGAGGTTGAAATAGGTAAATCAATATACGAGACTTTTTATCGGATAACGGAATTCGAGCTCGACTAGAGCCTGATCTAACCCTTCACGAAGATCTGCCTCTGTTTGGACATCGCTTACAACAAAATTATGTAAAAGTTTAAGCTTGTGCGTGGTGTAAAGTGCTCTTTCAGTAAAGACATACTCAAATTAGTGATGCAACAACCTTATAAATTATGATAAAGTCGAGCAAATCCTAATATAAATTTTGAATCTTGATGTATAATTTGGAATATTTTAAACACAATTACACATGAACAACTAACTTAAGCGTTGTGCATAAATCATTTCTCTTATTTTCACTGTTCTCTAGTGTTTGGTTTGAGAGGGGGGCCAACGTGAGGGAGATGGGGGTATAGCCAAGACGGATTGTGTCGTACACAAGGCCTAACGAGTAACGAGTGGTTTTACGGATCCGTACTCAAACCACCCCTCTGAATTAGTGGTTTGCAGTCTATCCAACGTTCCTCATGTGTTCATTCAGTCACTTCAGGCATTTGTTGTTTTGGCATGGGGATTGTGCCACTTTTGAGTACATTGATATTTTTATACTAAGAGGATGAGGAGTTCGGCTAAGTCACACAATAAGCAGTCTAATTTGGTATCGAATTTGCTATCCACGAGATTCGAACCTAAGACCTCTCCCTTCCAAACGAAAAATAATATTATCAGACTGTAATACTAAGTGACTCTATGCCAGTTATGCCACCTGTACCACTTGTGCCAAGAAGAAATTGGTTAATGTCCGAGGGAAGGACAGTACTAGGGCACACTTGTTTGGATTCCAAGTTAGGTTTTGTGGTGGGCTCTCTCTCTCTCCGCCCTCTCTCTCTTGTATGGATTGCATGATTGGGGAATATAATATTATTGGTAAGGATGAATGTGCATATTTAGGAGAAATAGAAGGTTATCCATACACATGTATACCAATAGTACTATAGCATTATTTTTAGGAAAACTAATGAAAAAAGTTTGAAATTTTTTAATTTTAATAAAAAAAATCATGTTATAAGTTTTGTTTAATGATTAGTACAAGGCCCATATTAACTAAAAATGGCCTAACTATAATAAATTATGATTTGTCGATTTTACCCCTAACTTTTTTTGGGTTAAGTTCTAGATTTTCATCGTTAATGGAGTTCATCGTTGTTTTGCAGACCTTCTTCTTTTTCTTTGAAACAAAAATATAGATCATCATGCTATTTAATTTATATTTTGTATTATTTCGTTGAAACGTGATTGTCGTTATTATTCATAAAGTATTCGAGGTATTGTTTTTCAATTTTTCTTCATTAGTGGAGTTCATCGTTTGTTTCTCTAGAAAATAAATTTGAGATCTGCATGTTATTCAATAATAACGAAAGGTCACTGTTTCTGGACCGTAAAAATAAACTATTTCTCGATTTTAAGTAACACTGTTTCTGGAATCTAAGTCACTGTTTATGGATCCAAATGAAATAGACACACTGTTTCTTAAATGTAAGCTAGAAAAGAAATAGTGAAATTCATTGTATTTGGATTCAAAGCAAAATAAGCATCATGTTTCTTAAATATAATCAACTGATGTATGAAAGAAAAGAAACAATCAAAGGTTAAAATATAGATTGTTTCTGGAATTTAAGTCACTGTTTCTGGAATCTAAGTCACTGTTTCTGGAATTTAAATCACTGTTTCTGGATTTTTGTTCTTTTCTTTTCAGATACAGTGTTTGTTTGTGCACAAAAAAAATAAACACTGTATCTGATGTTTTTTTTTTTTTCCAGAAACAGTGTTATGTTTTGAGTTCTCCAGAAACAGTTTTATATTTTGGTTCTTTTTTTTTCTTCCTATTTACAGACGCCTGACATGTACATACATCACCGAGAGAGTAGGTCCTTATTGGATCTAATTGGAATAAAATACTAACACTATAAATTGTTCATGGTGCAGATAAGAGGATGAGGATGAGGATGATGACGAGGAAGAGGAGGATAAGGGCACGAAAAAGGTAGACAATAGTTTTGGATGATTTTTTATTAACTTTGAGCCATTTTGGTTAAATAACATTTTATGATGATTTTTTTGTTAAATATTTGTTGGCTCAAGTCTTTTTCATTAAAACTCTCTTATTTTTTTTGGGTAACAAAATATTTAGAGGGAGGGAAGGCTACCCATCAAGAGCCAGATATACCACAAACCTCTTTGAGGACTTACAGAGGGGGGTCTTACTTTAAAAATTAGGAGATTTGAGTTAAGCTGCTGCTACGATAAGTATTCCATAGTAACAAAAAATCAAATACCGACCAATTTGCATGTTTTCAAGCCAATTGCAAAATTCATGCCGGGTGGGTGGTCCTTATAATAGCTTATGAAAAACTTGTCATTTTACTGAAAATTCTTTGTAGCATGATGTGTACGTAAGTACTAAAAAAAAAAAAGTAGCCAACCAGCCATCTTTACCAAACAAATAAGGAAAAATGACTTATATAGTTATATTCCAAAAGTTAATATGTTAAAGTTTTGGACATATCATGCCAAGTTGTTAGGATATTTCTAAAAATAGAATAAAATAAACCTTAAATAACATATAGTTCTAATAAATTATTCTTACACGATTTAAAGTAAATAGAATTATATCAAAGAAATGTGGCTATTAACAAGACATTTAATCATTTAAAAAAAATAGAACGTCTCAAATTTAAATTATTAATAACGATTGCAATACTTAAATATAACTAGTCAATTGTGACTTATAGCAAATTCTGACACACCCCGACCCGGAATGTCCACTAGGACTCCGAATCGAGCTGTGCTGGTCGACACCAAGAAGGTGACGAAGCCATAAAGTGTGATGATGTCGAAATATTATGAATAAATTTAAACCTAAGAGTGCCTAAATATCAAAGTGCACAGGTGAGCGGAAATGAACTCACTTCACACGTGACGTTAGAGCATAAGCAATTATAGAAGAGTGAATTAAGAATCGTACCCTCGAATAATCTCCAATACGAAGAATCGCCACGATTCCTCGACGATAAGAAAGCTCACCTGGAGGGTGAAGACAAGACAAAGGTGAGTGACCCAGTAAATAAAATTTTAATAGAAACCATATAAATTTCTATAACCTCTCGCTACAACACCTGTATAATTTTCAGACTTAGAATATAAAAATATACATCTACATATATATATATATATATATGTATCAATTCAAGTCATGCTTCACATATTTATAATCATATGCTAACTTATCGCATATTCATCACGTCTGCTAGCTCATCACGTATTCACCACATATGCTAGCTCATCACATATATTCATTATATATATGCTAGCATTTCATCACATATCTCATCATAAATATATGCTAGCAATTCATCATATATCCCATCATAAATATATACTAGCATTTCATCACATATCTCATCAATTCAACTAATACCGTATACTTACTTGAACTTACCTAAACTTACCTGAACTTACTTGTGTGTCCTGGGTTCACATTTGTACTTCAGAGCATTCAGAATAATTATGTGCAAGGAATATACGTATGGATATGCCATGATGAAATCTAAACTTAAAACATTTCATAATATTTCCAGATATATAAACATATAAACAAATGGTCTAGAATGCATAAACTGAATGCCCCCTTCCCAAACTATTTACTTTTGGGAGTAATCATCGATGATAAGTCTAATTAAACACTAGTTAAATTAACTATCAATTAATTCCCTCTCCTTACTTAAATTTCTTGATTATTCACGCAATGATTTATGATCAACATTTAACCACTAAAACATAGGGTCAAATCTTATACTCTTTCCACCAATGTCCCTCAAACTACTCAATTTACCAAACTAGACTATTGTCTCGATTATTCGGTCTCATTTATTATATGGTTGCATCTAACGTCTTGTTAGACTGCCTACGTACCCTAAATAGGGATCAAGCCATTCGTAGTTCGTATTAGTATTTCAAAATATTCATAGAATCATATGCAATAATTAATTTATAAACGTTTGTGGAATTGTCAATCATATATATATATATATATGTATATATAATATACGATAGAAAGGAAAATACCCACCCACCTGGAGTCCACGCTATGATTCTCTAGCATGCACATCAAGGCGTCCCAAACGATGGGTGCATGTGACCAATTATCGAATCACATCTCAGAACTCTTACTAAAAGAATGCGTAATTCACATAAAGCACATTCTCAAGGACATCTCAAAATAGTTTGAGACTCATTGACCACAAGTCAACCGTCGATCAAAGATCGACGGTAGGGTCTACAACCTTGTAACTCGATCCGGAAGATCCGCATATCAGGTTTCAAATCCGAAACTTCCAAAGATCCAAATTATACTTCTAGAATAACATACTAAAATTCATTATGATCAAACAGTCGGATTTCCGTCAATTGCCCAAAACTAAGTGACGGTTAACATTTATTTTATAAACTTACAAATCTAATTCGGGAAGATCCGTACGTCGGATTCCCAATCCGTAAGTTCCTATGATCCTCAAATATTATGAACTATAATTTATTAACGTTTTTTGACGATCCAACGGTCGGATCGTTGATTCATATTTTGACCTATTCACGTGTCGAAATGAAACTAAGTCCAAATAATGAAATTACGTCATATGGATATCAATTATGAACCCAGGGAATCTAATAGTACTTAAACAAAACATCTTTGGCCCACAGGCCACGCCACCGCACGCGCCGCTGCGGGTGGCGGTCGGCCGCCCCGACTTGCCGGAAAATTCAACTATTTTTAAAAATTCTCAAAAATTACAGAATTGAAGATCTCAAAGAGTAGAGTAAACTTTATACCTGTGGTCAAGTCCAATTTGGCCTAGAAATGCTCCAATTTTTCTAAAAACGTACGAAACCCTAGAAATTGGGTGTGATTCAATTCGACCTCCAAACTTGCTTCGACGCCTCCACCACTGCTTGGGATTTGTTCCTGGGTTATAGGGGAGTGTTTTGGTAGTGGTAATTGAAGGAAAACATTTCACAAATGGGTGGATTTTGAGTAACCTTTCCCGTGGCACCTATGGTGGTTTTTCCACTAAACTTCAACCAAAATCCTTCTAATTTTGGGTGGAAATGGAAGAGATATAGGTTAGATGATGATTGCAGGTGTTGAAGAGCTATGGTTCACCGGAATATAGCGAATATCGCCAAAATTTGCTCAGGGAAGTCCAAGTCCTAACTCGGGTTGGACGGGTCACAGGGATGAAGGCACGGGTTTGGTGCTTTTCAGCTCCCTCCTTTCCCTCCTTATCCTTCTTCCTGATTCGTCCTCCCATCTTTCTCCTTTCTGATAGGGTAGGAGCCCTCTCCTTTTCTCTCATCAGATTGGGCAGTTTTGCCCAATCTCCTCATCTCTCCCTATTTCCACCAATCACACACAAACATATATCATAAAATCATTTTGTAATAATAATAAAATATCGTGTAGGGTAATTAACATAATGATTTATTCCAAATACTTTCGGGTTCGTAATTCCACGAAACTTTAACTGAAACTCCAAAATCACTTATACATGTGCCTACGCATCCGTAAGATCGAGCTTTATTCGAATATGTCATTAAACATGACAAAATATACGAGAGTTACACACGTCCTCGAAAAAAATCACGATGTGCCCATAAGGCATTTCCGTCCTTTCATGTATTAAAATTATAAAAACCATAATTTTTAGGGACGGGTTGTTACAAATTCTGCTACTGTTTTTGGAATATAAATACCAAAAACAGAATTTTTTTTTAACAACGATATAATCTATACTAAGAGAGAGGGGAGTAGGTTTAGCCACACAATGGATTAGTACTAATGTGGTTCAAATTCGCCTTTGGTTAGAATCGAACCTCAAACTTCTTACAAAGATGAATACAACTATACCATAATACTAAGTGGCACCAAAAACGAAAATCATGGAAAGAAAAAAATCAAAAAACATTTTTCGAAATGCCCTGTATCAAGGATTCGGACGTGTGGCACCACCTAATCATTAGAGCAGTTCCACCGCTGCTCTTTAGGCCGACATCCAGGCCAAAAAATGGACCAGTTCCCTTCAATTTGCTCCAGCCCAAGCCAGGCCACAAGCCGGCCTAGAATTGACAGAGGAAGGAGACGGCCCATCTAACGCCATGTTGATACCAGCGTGGTATCGTCGGGCGTTTGAAATTTTTTTTTACACTAGGCGCGGGGGAAACATGAATGACTGGGCACGCGTCGTTGACAAGATTCAAAGCAGGGGCACGCATGCGCAGACACACCCAGCGAACGAAATGGAAGGCCACGTGGTCCGTCCTGGGCCATTGGATTTCCAACGGCTAGTTTTTTTGGACTGTTGGATTTTCAACAGTAAAAAAATTTTGAATTTGAATTTTGATCTGGACCGTTCGATCACAGATCAACATTCCACTTTTTTCCACAATTTTTTTTTTTATAAAAAAAAGGCACAACAGTCAAAATTATGATTGTTGGCCACGTGTCAACTTATAGTCTGTTGGATTTGAATATTTTTCAAATCCAACGGTCCAGATTAATTAACTACATTAAAATTAATTAAAAATTATGAAAAAAATATAGAAAAATTATTGTAAATAGATAGTGACACATGACGCGTCGGGTTTGGTTGAAAATCTTAGAGAAAATCTATTCACAAAATAGTACGTTCGGATAATGACACGTGGCGTGACGAGATTGATTAAAAATCATATCCGAAATTAAAAGTCTTTTATTTATTAGTTTTATAAAAAATTTAAAAAATTTAAAATGGGCTGGGTGCCAGCTCATTTTATAGGGATGAAGATCGTTTGTGCCATCGCATTTTTTATACTGGGTGCCAAAGCATTTGTTTAGGGGTGGAGATGCATTTAGCCTATTACTGTTCATTAGGGTCTATCACTGGTTCATTGAGTAGATTAAATGGGCTGGATGCTGACGCATTTTTTTTGGGTGGAACTGCTCTTAGTGATCGCATCAGATTCTACCACGTGGTGTGATAGCAAGGCGGCCACGCCAGCCCCGAACCATGCTCTCTGGAGTTTAGGGAGCCGACCTTCGGAAAGTTCCGGAAACTAGTGGCTCGCAGCGGCCGATCCATCTGGGGGTCCAAAACGCGCCACGTGTTCGAAAAACCACACGGGAATCCGACGTGGCGTCCCCATTTTCTTGAATTTGATACGGCCCCATGTTTTGGCGCGACCCAGCTGGAACTAGGGCACTGTCGAAATCTTATATAAAAAGACCACCGAAACTCAAAAAACTTAAAGAAATTTCTGAAACTTCCGAAAACGAGAAACGAAAACTCGGATTTGGAATCGGTTTCCTGTTTTTCGGATATTTTCGAGCGATGAATGCGGAGGGGAATACGGAAGAGGAAGTGAAGATGGAAGAGGGGAAAGAGAATGTGGTGTTCATGTGGGGGTATCTGCCCGGAGCTCTGCCGCAGAGGTCGCCGCTTCTGTCGCCGACGGTCGTGCGGACGGCCGGAGCTGAGTACGCGTGGAAGGATGTGTGCGGTGGCGGCTGCGGCTTCGCCATGGCCATTTCAGGTGCTTTCTTCGAACTCTGCCTTGGTTTCCTACTCTTTATGACTGCAATTTATATCTTGTTTGGTTGCCGATAAAATGTGGGAAAATAAACGGAAGTAAAGCTTGAAACTTTATTTTTTATGCTAATTTCTTGCTATATAAGAAAACACACAGCTTAGTAAAGTTAGTGAATTTAGTTACAGAGTTGTTTTTTTAGTCGATATATATTCTAAACTGCTCTAATTTATTGCGAGTCGGAATTTCAAACTGGTTGCATCGGGGATGCAAGAACCAGCTAGCTCTGGGTTCGAGTGGCATTTCACCCCTAACCACAACTCATTCGCTGATCGGGCACACTGTCTTGGCAAACCGGCTTTAACCCGCATTTGCTTTAATTTGTGGCAGTTGATACACTATTATTTTTCTCCCTAATGCTGTTTTACCATATCTGTTTGTGTATGTTTTCTCTTCAAAGTGCATTTCTTTTTGCTCTTTTACGATTCTTTAATGTTACATTTTGACTCAGAACCTGGAAAGCTTATTACATGGGGATCAACAGATGATCTGGGCCAAAGCTATGTGACATCTGGGAAGCACGGGGTACGGTAGTACTACGCCATACGTAGTCATTTCATTGATTTTTTTTTTCATTTTTGTTTCTTGCTGGAAGTATTTGACATTGTTCTCAATTTCACATGTTTAAGGAAAATCCGGAACCTTTTCCTCTTCCAAATGATGCTTCTATTGTAAAGGCGGCCGCGGGTTGGGCCCATTGTGTTGCAGTCACAGGTAATGCTGATTTCCCAACTGCATTTTTCTCAAAAGAGTGGATTTTATTCAACCTAGTGAGTAAAGGTAAAGAAACATCTGAACCCTTTTCTGACAACTAAGTTCTTTTGAAGATGCCTAGGGGGTTCGGAATTAAGTGTAAAAAACTAGGGCGACTGAAACAATTAGTTGGTAACTAATTGAATTGTGGAAAGAACTTCAGTTTCTGTGTTCCAACGTTATTAAGCTATTATGAGTTGGAGCCAGTCAATAATTTTGGGATTTAATGCAGAAAATGGACGAGTTTACACTTGGGGATGGAAAGAGTGTGTTCCATCTGGGAAGGTCTTTGGGGAGCAATCTATGGGGCCAGACGGTGAAAAGGATGCATTTGAAAGGCAGAGTTCTTTTTTGACCGAGCAAGGTAATTTATGTTTGGCCTTTTTTCATGACAATGGCAAAAGCTTGTTTTTCATTCACTGCTGACTTATTTATGTTTATGATATAGTTAGCCCTCGCTCTCATGGCTCACAATCCACTGCCGGGGCAGTTTCTGCTAGTGAAGAAAGTACAAAGCGAAGAAAATTATCTTCAGCAAAACAAGCGGCTGAATGTTCATCATCTGGTGATGAACCTCCGTCTGCATTGCCATGTCTTGTGGCATTGAATCCGGGAGTTAGAATAGCCAGTGTAGCTGCTGGAGGGCGCCATACTCTGGCATTATCAAGTAATTTTACCCTGTTCTGATTTATAGTTATATGCGATGCATAGTGTCTTTGCGTTGTGGTCATGAAATGAGGTGCAGATTGGAGTATCAAGTTAGAAACTAGAATATTTAATTTATTATTATTTAAAGAAGAGAGGTCGCACTTGGTGCGATGGCAAGTGCCTTCGCTCATGAGCGGTAGGTCTCGGGTTCGAGACTTGGGAGCAGCCTCTCCATAAATGGGGGTAAGGCTAGCCGACATTCACCTCTCCCAGACCCTGCGTAAAGCGGGAGCCTTGTGCACTGGGTACGACCTTTTATTATTATTTAAAGAAGACATGATGTATCCTGATTTCCCAAAACTTCAGATGGAGGACAAGTGTGGGGATGGGGCTATGGAGGTGAAGGGCAGCTTGGTCTGGGCTCCCGCATACGTATGGTGTCCTCTCCTCATCCTGTACCTTGCATTGAGTCCTCTTATGGAAAAGATGGATCTGCAGGACTGTCTAGAGGAACCATAGGTTCAGACGGATATGGTCTTAGGGTTCCTGGGAATTATGTGAAGGGGATTGCCTGTGGAGGGCGACATAGTGTAGTAATCACAGGTACAAATTTTAAGTTCTTTCTCCAATTATGTATAAAGCATGGGCATCCAAGCTGGATAGTACTGTTACTGCCAAGGTTTTTAATTATTCTTAGATACTCAATTGCTACTTCTTGTCTTTAATATGTTATATGTAAGAAATAGTCGACTAAATACTGAAGAATCAGTCACCACAGCACAGACAGCACATTTGAATGATAGAAGCCGTTTTCAAAACTTCATAGTTATCGCTGTTTATAAGTGGGAAGTTAGAATTGATTTGTCACAGGAATGTCATTCCTGCGGTTAGTGTAGCATGTGGTACAACTGAGATGTTAAACGATCGTATGCCTAAATTTTAGCATTTTAGCTTTTATGCTTTGTATGCGGTTTATCTTTACATGTCTGTTTTTTATTTCTTTCTCGCACTTCAGATGCTGGAGCTGTACTTGCTTTTGGGTGGGGGCTGTATGGACAGGTGAGTTTTCTGTATTGTACTCTTTGCCTCACGCTTTATCTTCTTGAAACCATAAGTGCTGATCTGCATTAATTCTTTTTCATCCTTATGCACAACAGACTTCTTGGCTTGTTGATGGTAAAACTGCTATTAATCACAAATATAAAAAATCATCAACTATAGTACCTAAACAAGAATGAACTGGTGTTCCAATCAAGCTGGAATGTCTAAAGTTTTAATCTTTGTATCCATCCATACACAAACAACTAGCGGGAGTTCCCCAAATTTAACCATTCTACTGTACAACATGTAGGTAATGTAGGAACGGCTGAGAAAAAATATTGTAGATGCTCAGGATGAGGTTCACTCAAAAGGGATTAATCTATTCTATTCCTTCTTAACATTACCTATAATGTACTGTTTCTGCACTATTTCTATTATTCAAATGGTGTAAAACTGATTTCCTTGTCCCTTTTGTTTTGTTCAAGTGTGGGCAAGGAAGCACAAATGATGAATTACGCCCGACTTGTGTATCTTCATTACTGGGTATCCGGATAGAGGGTGTTGCTGCAGGACTGTGGCACACTGTCTGCATTTCAGCTGATGGTGATGTTTATGCATTTGGCGGGAATCAGTTTGGACAGCTGGGTACCGGAACTGAAGAAGCTGAGGTAAGCCTTGAAGTTGACTGAAATCTATCCATTATTTCGCTAGAGGCCATGGCATTCTCATCAGCTGAGAAGTTATCAACTTACTAGAATGCTATACGATTTTTTTATTCATAGATTTTGTCGTTCAGGCAATGATAAAACGGGACGATAACCATAAATTTCGCCCTTACTTTGTCATATAATGTTGCTAGTATATTGGTAGGGTTACATAAATTAGTTAATCAAATCAATAAACATGTCGCTACTTTTGTAATATTTTCATATCATCATTGCCAATATAATCGATATCAGAGAAACTGTTGAACTGAATTTTCTTAAATTGTGAACCAGATTATACCAAGACTTTTGGATGCTCCAGTTCTGGAAAACGTGAATGCAAAGATTGTTTCCTGTGGGGCGCGTCATAGTACCATAATCACCGGTATGCTACTGCCGTTTTTACAAGCTTAGGTACTCTTTTATGATAAGCGACTTTATCTTCTTTACCCTAAAGAAGAAATGGTATCCAATCTTAATGTGGTTATGCAAATATGAATATCTCGATGCATTTGGTTGCTTGTGAGCGTCTCCGTCAGTCCAGGAAACAGGAAACGACAGATGGAGAAAGAAATACGGAAGTTTGGTCAGCTCATAAGAGCCTTCACAAGTCCTTATAAAATTCCAAAGTCTGTGTATGGATCGACTAGCTAAACAAAAATTAATGAAAGTGTAGGAACTTGCAGGTATTAAGGACAAAAATATCTATTCGGGTGGAAATATCAGTTGCTTCGGTTTACAGGAATATCAAGTGATATCATAAGTTTAGTTTAGAAGATGTTGAAGTTAAACTTATGAGAATTTTCACCTAAAGAGATTCTTAATTTTTTGTGTTTCATGTAGAGGATGGGAAAGGTTTCGCCTGGGGATGGAACAAGTATGGTCAGGTATTCAGCTGTCATCAACAGTTCATGTCGATGTCGATTTATGAAATGTATTTTGCTCTGCAATGTTCCCGTTTCTCGTATTGCCTTGCAAGTCTAATACTGTGGTTTTCTGTTTTCTGTTGCATTTTCCAGCTTGGCCTGGACGATGTGATCGACCGCAACATTCCGGCTCAAGTCACAATCGACGGATGTGTGCCGAAAAATGTGGCGTGCGGCTGGTGGCACACCTTACTGCTTGCTGAACCTACTTGAGTTCCCCCAGTCCAAGGGCAATCGTACAGTTTTGTTAGGTAGCCGTGTTCAATGTCCATTGAAGTCAGTAACTTATTGGTTCCATGTACATACTGTGGTTTGGAACTGTATATACATATACGTATACATATGTATTTATGTATGTATATGCATGTACTCATTCTTTCACAGCGGACGTCCTCCACGATTGGCGTAATCTCGGGCACGGTCACGATATCGTAATACGTATCAGTTCCCATATGTACAACTAAGGCTGTGTAAATTCTGGTTTATCCAATTGGAAGTGGCTGTGATGTAATCAGACGCCTCGAAATGTTATGTAATCGTTGTGTATTTTCTTAGGAAACTTGCAACTATGTGGGGAATGCTATGGAAATTTCCTTGATTCATTTTCTAGGAGAGAGACTTACATGCAACCAGGACGTTGGTGATGATGTTTCAAACTTATTATGCATTGTGTTTTAACTCACATGACATTGCTTGATTAGTTCAGAATACCGCAACTTAGCGGATGGCGGCCCTGTGTGATTTTTTTCCAATAAAAAGCTGTTGGAACTTGCGTTTTGTTTGCTATTAATCCAGGATTTTCAAAGTCCTCTGTATTTGACCATGCTGGCATGAGGAAAGAGAGACTCTGTTAGGTCTTCTAGATGAAACCTCAACCTCACCACGTTCTCATCTCTCTCTCGACAACTTCCTCTTTTCTTTTTTATTTCTATAAATTATAAGATTTCTTGTCGTTGACTCACCGAAATTTACGTTGTGAGGATGTAACACAAAGTGGGAAAATGCCAAAGAGATAATATTGTTTGACTTATATAAAACAATGTTTCTAATATTTTTATTCATGTGTTATAGTCCAACTTTACGTAAATTATTAGATTTTTTGAGATTCCTTAACTCAAAGAAAAATCTATTCTCCTGTCATTGTCTTTTTATTTTATTATTTTATTATTATTTTTTATCCTCTCTAAGACTTTAGATGTAGAGACCTAATGCGTTTGACTATAAGAATTCGACTGCAGAGATGAATATGACAAGTCGATTAGTTGAATTCAGGTATAAAAGTACAACTGAACAATGTTCCTAAACTATACTGAGGTCAACTCCAACTCTTGGATTAAAACCTCAAATTTAAGTTCCAAAACTTGCTCCAATTTTTGTGCCTAAAATCAGTTTTGGGTTAAAACTAGTTTTTGGAGCAAATTCCAGCCAAGATTTCAGCCCGGGTTAAAAATCTTGGCCCTCTGTGCGTGTAGACGCTTCGAGAAATTGGACATCTCGCAGAATTGACGCACTAAACAAAAGGCAAAGGGGACAACGTTGAGCAAGAGTGGGGCCTGGCCTGATGGGGTTATCGGCCACCCATGTGCAATCCCAACGGCTCTATTAAATCGGACATCATGGGTTATTAGAGCGTTGGTTGATCCAACGGTCCAAATAATCTTGGGCTAAAAGTTAAATCGAACACCATTGAAGCAGAAAACAATTTCTGATTAAAATATGATTTTTTTTGGGTTAAATTTTTTAAATTTTAACCTAAAATTTGAAATATAATATGAAATAGTTTTTCCCACATCTTTATTTTCCTTTTGCATGCCCGTATTTATCTGTTTTAATTCTTTTATAATTTATTCAATTCTAGTGCAATAAATTAAATATAATTGTGCGAAATCACTTGCCAAACTAATTGACCCTTGATTTCTCTCATGGTAGTTTTCTTTTTATAAGACGATATTCTACCATAAGGGATGAGATATTCTGCTATAAGAGCAAGAGAGATTATACTAGTCATTTAATGAGCTCCTCATCTAACGATATGAAATAAAATGACGAGCATCACAGTTAAGGGTGATGAACAAAAATATTTCCTCGCACAATGGTTAGAGAAGTAGGAGAAATTTTTAATTGTGACAGGATTACAAGTGGTACATCACGTGTTTTAATAGAATTGGTGAAAAATTTTATTTTTTAACTTATTAACATTTTAGCATACATATTCCACAATTTATATAATAACACATGACGTATGTATCGATCACACTGAAAAATCTCCCGAGAAGTAGAAAGTCAAAAAGCAAAAACGTGTCAAGCCCAACTTGCATTTTGTCAAAATGTCAGAAAACGACAAAAATTTAACCCACTAAAAATAATTCAAAACAAGGAATCTTTTCCATTTCCTACCAAAAAATCCACCCCCTCACCTTACAAAACCCCCATCACTTCCCCAACCGCATTTTCCACCGCAATCACTTCTCAAAAACATGGCCTCTCCGCCCACCCTCCTCCTCTCCGCCGCGCTCCTACTAACCTCGGCCTGGTGCGTACTATCCCTCCCGCGCTGCCCAGACTGCGGCACCACCACCGTCCCTTACCCCCTCAGCACATCCCCCACGTGCGGCGACCAGTCGTACAAGATCCGCTGTTCCGCGGGCTCCCTCCTCTTCGACACCCTCAACAACTCCTACCCAATCGAATCCGTCTCCCCTGCCTCCCAGCGACTGGTCCTCCGCCCCTCCGCCTTCCTCCCCAACACCTGCATCGCAACCGATATAGTCCACGAGGGCCTCCAGCTCAACAACTCCCTCCCCTTCAACGTCACCCAGCAGCAACACCATCCTCTACCTCAACTGCACCGACACCCTCCTCCGATCGCCGCTCAACTGCACGGCGTCGAGCCTCTGCCACACATACATCAACGGCACCGGATCGGTGGGCTCTTGCAAGGAATCGCTGTGCTGCACGTTTCGGGCGGGCGGGTCGTCGACGTCGTACAATATCCGGGTCAGAAACTCGGGTTGCAGCGCGTACACCAGTTTCGTGAACTTGGATCCGGGTTTGCCCGTTGACCGGTGGCCCGAACCGGGAGTGGAGCTACAGTGGACATCACCAAGGGAGCCCGAGTGTGGGACGCAGACGGATTGTGAGGGGAAGTCCACTTGTAGGTCCGACCCGGCTGTCGCTGGGGTCAGGAGGTGCTTTTGCGACTCTGGCTTTACGTGGGACCCGGTTCAAGGCTTATGCGTTGATGGTGAGTTGCGGTGTCGTTTTGATGTATTGCGTGGCTGCTCAGCCTTTGACTTCGAGGGTCACTCAGATTTTTGAACTTTGACTTTTTTTTGTTGGCAGATAGCATTGGTTCAAAGGACCGCACCGGACTAATAGCAGGTAAAGAATACTGATCCTCCATAATCTATTAGTCATTAAAATTAAAGTTTTTAATTTGAAAGGAATTATCTTTTATAATGTTATTTCAAACACGACACATTACACAACTTGAAATTCACATGACATAAGACTTGATATGTGTGTCATAACTTTTTATTTCTCTTATGCACAGTAATCAAAAGGTCTATTTTTTTAAAGTTTCAAACGCTTAGAGATTAATCGCGGTGGTGATCAACTACTTAACGACTAGACAGGACCTTTAAGAACACTGATAAAAACAAAACGAATTATAGTAAAATCAAAGTTATTTTCTTCTTTTGTTTCAAGCGATATTGGAGGAGAGAGAACTGAACATAGGATTCGAGACGCAGGCGTGAATATTCTCAACTAAGTGAGCTACAAGCCCTTGCGAAATCAAATTCGTTATATGCAAGAGAAGTTGTGACAAATCACACCTGAGGTTTATTTTGGTCCAGACATTAAAACCTACAGCACATTTTACAAACTCTATATTTGCATCACTAACAAGAAGGAAATCGAAACTTCCGCAGGTTTAACTTGTGGGATTGGTGCAACACTAATCGCAGCCACCATAGCCTTTCTACTCTACAAGCGCCACAGGCGCATCAAAGAAGCACAAGCGCGCCTGACGAAAGAGCGCGAGGATATCCTAAATGCCAACGGAGGCAGAGCCGCTAAAGTCTTCACCGGGAATGAGATCAAAAGAGCAACAAACAGCTTCTCCAAAGACCGGCTCCTAGGCGCTGGTGGATACGGCGAAGTCTACCAAGGAACTCTTGTAGACGGCACTGTCGTGGCTGTCAAGATTGCTAAGATTGGAAACACCAAAGGCATTGACCAAGTTCTCAACGAGGTCCGAATTCTGTGCCAAGTTAACCACAAGAGCCTTGTCCACCTACTCGGCTGCTGCGTCGAGTTAGAGCAGCCTATTCTGGTCTACGAGTACATCGAGAATGGAACCCTTCTCGAACATCTGCAGGCTCGAAAACCTGGTGGCTGGAAACATCTTTCTTGGATGCAACGTCTCCAGATTGCGCTTGACACGGCCGAGGGTCTTGCTTATCTCCATTTCTCAGCTGTCCCTCCAATATATCACCGTGACGTGAAGTCTAGTAACATCCTGCTTGATGAGAAGCTGAATGCCAAGGTTTCGGATTTTGGGTTATCGCGGTTGGCTCACACGGATTTAAGTCACATATCAACGTGTGCTCAGGGAACCCTCGGATATCTTGATCCCGAATATTATAGGAACTATCAATTGACGGACAAGAGTGATGTTTATAGCTTCGGAGTTGTGCTCTTGGAGCTGCTGACATCTCAGAAAGCTATAGACTTCAACAGGGAAGCGGATGACGTGAACCTGGCAGTTTATGCGCAGAGGATGATGTTGGAGGAGAGGTTGATGGACGTGGTTGATCCGTTGCTGAAAGAGGGAGCGAATGCTTTGGAGCTGGACACGATGAAGGCGCTGGGGCTCCTTGCGTTGGGTTGCTTGGAGGAGCGTAGACAGAACCGGCCTTCGATGAAAGAAGTCACCGAGGAGATTGAGTACATTGCAAGCATTGCCACTGCTAAGGCTGTAGATGCCTAGTTTTTGTTTACCAGAGTTCTGCTCTGTACAGCTTGAGGAGAGGATTTTGCAACCCAAATAAAGAGGCAGTTTTGCTTGCTGAAATATGAGTGTGTTTTTTTTTTATGATTTGAAGGTTTAGGGTTTAGTGACGTGTCTTAAAGAAAACTTTTGAAAGTTTTGAACATGCTAGAAGTGGGCATACCCAAAAAGAAGAGAGAGTATGGTATTCGTCTACAACACTCGTCATCCATGTGTCAATAGTTTACAACACAATCAGTTACGTGATAAGTGTTGCTTGTCGAAATAAAGAGATGGGTTTGTTTGTTGAAATATGAGTATGTTCATGATTTCAATGTTTAGGATTTAGGGCTTAGGAACGTGTCTTAAAGAAAACTTTTGAAAGTATTAACATGCTAGTAGTGACTAGTGGGCATATCCAAAAAGAGGAGAAAGTATATTATTCGTCTACAACACTCGTTATTCATGTATCATTACATTATAAACAGTCAATCACGTGATGAGTGTTGTAGACAAAATAGAATAATAGAGCATATTCTCTCTGAAGGTCAATCATATGGGTGGCAGCAGGGCAATTCTGTAGTTGGGCTTTTTGGGTGGACTTA